AGCATGAAAACTATAACAAGTACAAAATGGTTACGAGGTCGGTCCCAGGGACCGAGCCCATACAGACAGAGTTAATGCGTTTATATAAAAAGAACGATGCTTTAATGACCAAAAAAGCCATTTAAACGTAGTTTTATCATATGATAAATTTTTTCTGCTCTTTGACTAGTTCAGTTTTTTTCAGGATATCCCTTGTCTGTCATAAGCTTTTGACTAAAGGCTGATCGGACTTAGACCTGCATAGTTAAATTTTACATTTCTGAATACAACTATTGGTATATGTATTAACTTAGTGAGTTACTCATAACATGTACACACTCAACTGTTTGTGAAAATGTTTTGTAAACTTCTGTAAATTCTTAGTATTTGAAAACATATTAGAATGTGTTTTTTGTGTAATATTAATGTTGATTAATATGTTGATGAAGATTCTATGTCATACGTTTGTAATGTTTCTGTTACTATTATTGTGTACTATTAATGTTGAAGTTTATTATATATTATGATGAAGATTCTATGTCATACGTTTGTAATGTTTCTGTTACAATTATTGTGTACTATTAATGTTGATTAATATGTTGATGAAGATTCTATGTCTATACGTTTGTAATGTTTCTGTTACTATTATTGTGTACTATTAATGTTGATTAATATGTTGATGAAGATTCTATGTCATACGTTTGTAATGTTTCTGTTACAATTATTGTGTACTATTAATGTTGAGGTTTATTATATATGTTGATGAAGATTCTATGTCGTACGTTTGTAATGTTTCTGTTACTATTATTGTGACTTAAAATGTATTTCCTCTTTATTACCAGATTATATCAAGGTCTTGAGTGGATTTATTACCAGCTGAAAAGTAAAAAGTGATGACCTTGTAGCAACTAGATATGGTATTGTGACAGATAATGTTCTTATTGTACCTATGGTAACATGATGTGGAAAAGTCTCGGAGGTTAGAGAGCTGGATGGTAATACGAAGAGTTCCTTCCACCAGTAACTGTATGTTTGCGATCGAGTAACCTGCTGTTGTGGAAAGTTAGAAAAAAAAAGACCACATTTAGCTTTACAGTGTTTTTAAAACTGTTTTAAGGTTGTCAAAACTGGATGACAAAGAGTTTTAATGTAGCCACTGTCGTGACCTGTATGTAGAAATCTCAGTAGAAAGGTATTGAGTGCATCGAAAGTTAATAAACTCTTCGGGACATGAAACTCGCATGTGTTTAGTTACACGGGCTGTTCCGTAATACTTATTCGACAGGTTGAATTCGGAAAGCTATCTACTGTCAGTTTCTTATTTATGTGTGATCTGTTTCAAGCGTGATTTTCTTATAATAATGATAATAATATAAAAAGAGTATCTTGTTTACCTAAAATCAGAAACATGAAAGTTTATGAATTTTTCTATATTCAATGTACATTTATTCACAAATACAAAATTTTGTAGAAAAGCTTTATGTAAACTGTTGAGTATTGTGTCTTTCATTAGCAGTTATGCGGTGTTTGACTCGTGTTCTTTTTATGTAAAACTAAGATATACTATCAGTGTTATTTAAATCAATGAGAACTTGAGAAATATTTGGTAATTTTTTGAAACTTCTAAGATTATGGATTGAATATTTATGTTTCAAAATTCATTTTTAATAAAGTGTTTCTTAATAAATGTGTATGCTATGCTTGAAAAAAAAAAGTTTTATAATAATTAGTGTACAAAATACTCGTCAAGCTTTATTAAATTCAGTCAATTTTAAACTTTGTAAATAGGGCCTAAAATAAGTGTGTGGTTCTGGTTTCCCAACTGTCCATATTTTATACGTTACACTAATTTAAAAACATCCAAAGCAAAACAAATTCTACCACCTTTTTATTATTAAGGCTTGGGACTCGTCATTATGTGTGATAGTCATAACCTTTGATAAAGGCTTGGGACTCGTCATTATGTGTGATAGTCATAACCTTTGATAAAGGCTTGGGACTCGTCATTATGTGTGATAGTCATAACCTTTGATAAAGGCTTGGGACTCGTCATTATGTGTGATAGTCATAACCTTTGATAAAGGCTTGGGACTCGTCATTATGTGTGATAGTCATAACCTTTGTTTCTCTCTAAAACTGAGAAGAAACTAAATTAGAATTTCTAATTGGATTTTTTCTAATATGAAGTGACTAAAAAGTGTACAGATATGTCTTGTACTTGCTAATGGTGTAGTGTTTGATAAAGAGTTATTTTTTATTAATTTTCTGGATATTAAAGTATCAATGTGATATTTTACTAGTAGAAACACTGTTCAGATTTAAGGTTTATATTTTCTAAGGAAAATTGTGGCAAACTACCAAGTCATTTGCATATTAGTGTTCAATATTTGAATCGGAGAAAAACTGGAAGTCCCTTAACCTATTGTTTTTATTTGTATTCATCAGTTTATTAATCATAAAAGTAAACCTTACAAATTTACTTTCTAAGAATTCTTCCAAAAACAAGATTAGACTTCTTTCTAGACTGTAGAGTTCCTCCATGTTGTTATCTTTGTAGTAGCTTGTCAATTTTATGTTGTATAATATACAGAAACTTCAAACACTTAAAGTTCTAACAGTAAAAATGTTCATATTAAAATATTTTGAAATGGAATCTTTTTCAGCATATGTGATGAATTGGAAACTAACAAATCTGTATTGATTTTTTTTTCTTCTTGTATATACCTACATCTGTAATGATAATATTATGGAGTGTGTAAAACACTTCTTCAAATGAGAGTAACTGGAATATTACATACCTTATTTCTGCTGTTGAGATAGGACAAGTATAGCAAGTATCATTCTGGTTACCTTCGCGAAACCCGGTTATTGCTTTTAAACCTTTATAGTAGTAAAGAAACAAGCTTAATAGTAGTGTATTTGGGACTTTTATGTGTGATCTTATTAAATCTTGTGTAGCTTTGCACTGATAAAACAACAACGATTATTAAAGATGCCACGTAACACACGTATCACTACTCATGAGTTCATTCCAAATACCAGTAACGAAGAAAGTGGTGAAACAGACGGTTTTTTAACAATAGTTTAGTTTGTTGTTAAACACAGTAGGTTGTCTGTGTTGTGCCCACCATGGGTAGCAAAACCCAACTTATAGTGCTGTAAGCCTTCATTAAGATTTACCGTTGAGCCACTGGAGTTTATATGATGAATTATGTAAATGAGTTTATATGATGAATTACGTAAATGAGTTTATATGATGAATTACGTAAATGAGTTTATATGATGAATTACGTAAATGAGTTTATATGATGAATTACATAAATGAGTTTATATGATGAATTACATAAATGAAGTTTATATGATGAATTACATAAATGAGTTTATATGATGAATTACGTAAACGAGTTTATATGATGAATTACGTAAACGAGTTTATATGATGAATTACGTAAACGAGTTTATATGATGA